ACTCACATTGCCTTGCAATCCAGGGGGTTTCTTAAAGGCTGAGTGGTGGCAGGGCTGATTCAGTCCTTAAACCTGTGACAAACTGTTCACCCTCATGCTCACTGCAGAAAGCAGAGGGTTTCTAGCAAACAGCTCTTCAGAGTTACATTTTCCTGGGTTCAGGAATGATCCTGGATGTCTTAAGGTCTTCCAGAGCTCCCCTGCTTGCTGGTTGCCTCCCAAGCTCTGCCCCCCAGCTCCCAATCCTCATGGCCTTAAATCCACAACCAACCAAAAGAAAGCTTTGACAGAGAAACAGGAATGAACCCATCTTTCAGTGAGCTGTTAACCCTGAAACACAATGGTGACAGTGTGTGGGACAAAGGCTGGCCTTCAGCTGTGAGGAGTTCAGGCATTGTGCTTGTCCCACGAGCCCAGAGCATTTCTTCAGGGATGGCCACAACCTCTTCTTGACATTGCTGGGCTTTGCAGCTTGTGACAGTGGATCTGTTTCGCCTTGTCAATGCAAAAATAATGGAATGGAATGGAATGGAATGGAATGGAATGGAATGGAATGGAATGGAATGGAATGGAATAGAGTAGAATAGAATAGAATAGGTTCATTAAGGTTGGAAAATATTATCTCTTTTCCAGCTGATAATCTGATCATCTCCCTCTAAGATTATCAAGTCCAACCATTAAGTCAGCACTGCCAAGACCACCACTAAACCATGTTCCCAAGTGCCACATCAGTGCCACATCTACACTTTTGGCTTCTTTAACCCTTTCAAGGGTGGTGACTCTACCACTGCTGGGGCTGGTGTTGGGGCTTGACAACTCTTTCAGTGAAAATATTTTCCTAAATATCCAATCTAAACCTCCCCTTGCACAATTTAAGATTGTTCCCTCTCCTCCTGTCCCTGTTCCCTCGGAGCAGAGCCCGATCCCCCCTGGCTGTCCCCTCCTGGCAGGAGCTGTGCAGAGCCACAAGGTCCCCCTGAGCCTCCTTTTCTCCAGTCTGAGCCCCTTCCCAGCTCCCTCAGCTGCTCCTCATCAGACCTGTGCTCCCAGCCCAGGTCCAAACCATGATATGGCACCATGAGAACGAGGAGAAGATAAAAAAAAGCCCCTGCACTTTGTCCAGCTGCTACAAAACTTGATCTCTTTCCTGGTCGTGCTTTGATGAAACCAAATAGGTGCAATGAATGCCCAGGGAGGGGGATTTTTAGGGTTATAAATACCTGATTGCCCTGGACACTTCCTGCCGTCCTGTCAGCTGGAGGAAGGGATGGTGGATACCTCCAGAACATTCTTTGCAGTTCAGAGAGGATGTGGAATAAGTGCTGGGGAAGCACCTCCTGTGCTCGAGTGGGAAACCCAGGGACAGTGTCCCCTGTCACCCCAGCCCTCCCACCCCCACCAAAGGCCCCCTGGGGCTGCTGCTGCCATCACTGGGTGGGCTGGGGCTGTGGGGGCTTAATCAGGTCACAATTAGCAGCACTGTTAATGAGGGAATCTCACAGGAACCTCCGTGGGCTGGAATCAGGAATGAGCTCATTGGTGCTGGTGAGTGGGTTCAGAGCTGGAGGCTTTGCTGCCACCTCGTGTCCATGGGTCAGGAGATTCCAGATCTCTTTCCAGAGGGATTGATTGGCTCTCTCTGGTCCAGCCCAGGTATTTAAATTGTCACATTGAAAGTTGCTGCTGGGGTGGAGGTGAGGACTGTGGGTGGTGGGGACACATCCAGAGGGGCAGGATGCTCAGATGTGGCATTTGCCAGCACATTGTTCCTGCTGTGCCATGAAAACCTCATGGAAAATCCTTTTTTTTCTGCCATTTCAGGCTCTCCCAGCCTGTCCCATCCAGGCCACGTGTGAAGCTGCTTCCAAGGAGGAGAACAAGGAGAAGAACAGATATGTGAACATTTTACCCTGTACGTGTCAGAGCTGGTTGGATGGGGGGAAACACTCAGGGGTTCCTGCCAGGGCTCCCCATTCCTGGTTTTGGGATGGGCAAGGGCACAAATGAGGGCATTTCACCTCCCAGGTGGGTGGCTGAGTCTGCTTTAGCTTTGGATACCTGTGAGGAGAAGCTCCATGGAGCCAGGAGGCCGTGGAGAGTGCAAGGAATGGGAAACGCCAGAAGGGACAACTCCTGCCTGGTGGCACTGGGCAGTGGGCTGGCTTGAGGTGCCCTCAAATATCCACTCTGTAGAAGGAAAACTACCTTGGACAAGATCTAGGACCTCTCTGGGTTTGAGCAGGAGGAATTTCAGGGGATAAAGGTGTTTTTGCAGCAGAGCCAGGAGTGTGGGCTCCACTCCAGCACCTGGATTCTCACTAGGCCAGGTAGCAGCAGAGTGTGGAGGGGGTTGTCTTTAATGCAGAGTTTTCATTTCCCTCCAGATGATCATTCCAGGGTTCACCTGACTCCTGTGGAAGGGGTCCCTGACTCCGACTACATCAACGCTTCCTTCATCAATGTGAGTTTTGGGGTGTGGAGGGGAAATCCCTGCCAGGGTAAAGCCAAGCAGGCTTTGGAGAGGGCTGGGGGTACCACTCTTGCTGGAGCTGGGCATTTATGATCAACAAACAGCTGAAAAATCATTGAATCTTTGAGATTGGAAAAGCCCTCTAAGAGCCACGAGTCCAAGCATTCCCCCAGCACTGCCAGGCCACCACTGAGCCATGTCCCCAAGTGCCACATTCACACAGTTTTAAATCCTTGAAGAGTGTGGCCAGTTGGTCATCAGTGCTTGCAGGGCTGGATGTGGGAAGGGGATGGAGAAGAAATCAAGGAATCCAGCTGCAATGGAAGCACCATTGCCCTGCTGTGCCCCTGGGAGGAGATGGGTCCTTTGTGGCTGTCACCATTGTGGCTCCAACCAGCTGGAAGGGTCATGTGAGAGATGCAGGCACATGAGGCAAAGCAAGACTCAAAAGAGCTTTTTCCTTCCCTCCCCAGTAAATGAAATACACAAAACCAGTCCCTATGAGTTCTACAGCCCCTCTTTTCCAAGGATCAATGCTGATTTTCACGTGATGCTCTGGATGCAGGGTCTGACTGCAGTGGAAGGGCTGTCTGGCTGTCACTCCTTTCATTAGTGCCTTGTGCCAACAAGTGGGGTCATTCCTGTATTATGTGAGCATGGGGGGAGTTCCTGTGGTAAAACAGCCCTTTGCACAAGGATTCTCAATGATTTCAGCCCATCTTTGGAGCTGATTCTCCCCTCAGAGGCTGCAGCCCCTTCTCTGCACAAGGGAGAATGAGCAGCAGAGCAGATGCCAGCTCTGTTTGTTCCTGAAGAAAATGCATTTAATGACTCCTGTGTTAGAGAAATATTAATTTTTCTTCTTTTCTTGCAGGGGTACCAAGAGAAAAACAAATTCATTGCTGCACAAGGTAAATTATTGAGTATTCCCATGGCTCTGTTGTGGGCAGCTGGGATGGGTCCCCCTGCTCAGTGGAGCTGTGCCCCTCTACCCACAGCACAGCACAGCATCTTGCAGAGCTCCCCTGGTCAAAAGGAGGCCTGGCTGCTCCACAGATTGTTCCCAAAATGATTTTCGCAGTCAAAGAGCAGTGCTGGATGTTTTGGTGGACAGAAAGAAGTCCTTCCTGTGCAGTCCCATTGCTGGAGGGTGTTGTGAGCTCTGGAAGCCTCTTAATTAAAACCCCCAAATCACACAATCATGGAATGGTTTGGGCTGGAAAGGACCTCAAAGCTCATCTCATTCCACCCCACTGTCATGGACAGGGACACCTCCCACTATCCCAGGTTGTTCCAAGCTCCCTTGAACACTCCCAGGGATGGGATAGAGAGAAACATCCTTATGATCTTCAGAAGTCCAAACACATCCCTAAAACCAAAATTCCCACTCAGAGGGTGGGGATCATGTCAGCAACAGGATGTTACCTGCCCATGGGAGTGCTTTGTGTTTCCTCTCTGGACTTGCCAGTGGGTCAGGGCATTCCTGGCCACTTTCCCTGGCTCTGGCTGGAGAAGGAGGCTGGATCAGGTCCCTCAGCACTTCCAGGCTCAGGTTAAGCTTTGGCTCTGCTGTTCTCTTGGCTCACCCTGAGCCTCAGGCTTGGCAAGGGAGTGTAGGCTGAGTTAGCTTCGTGTCTGGCAGGCAGCAGGGAGCTATTCCTGTGCCACACTGAAATGGGATCCCATGGCTAAAACCCAAAATCCCAGGGCAGGACTCTGGGACAGCCACAATTCCCCTGGGTAACCTTGGGCAAGTCCATGCTCTGTTTGTCTGATTTCCCTTTCTTGAGCTAAATGTGGAACTCCTGACCATAAAACAAATCCAGACACTCCAGGTATCGTGTGATAGGATTATTCCTTGGATCAGGCATGCCCAGACACCACAGCACCTCCTGTGACCTATTGGCAAAAAATGTGTTGGATCATCCCTGATGTGTGACCTCATATGCTGGGGTTTGGCCCCAAATTGTGAGAGGTTGATCCCAAAGAGGACTTCTTGTTTTTCTTCCCCTCAGGACCAAAGGAAGAAACAGTGAACGATTTTTGGAGGATGATTTGGGAGCAAAACACAGCAACAATTGTCATGGTGACCAACCTGAAGGAGAGGAAAGAGGTCGGTGCCAGAAGCTTTCACAGGCTGGGATTTGACCCTATGGGCATGTCCTGGAGCCATTCCCAGCTTTGTGAGGGTGTCCAGAGCTCACCTGCACCTGTTTTTTCTCCCCCCAGTGTAAATGTGCTCAGTACTGGCCAGACCAGGGCTGCTGGACCTACGGGAACATCCGGGTGTCCGTGGAGGACGTGACCGTGCTGGTGGATTACACCGTGCGCAAGTTCTGCATCCAGCAGGTGCCAGGGGCCACCTCCACATCCCTTCCCTCCCCTCTCCACTCTGGGCATCCCAAAGGTGTTGGCTCAACTCCTCCAAGGCTCTGTGAGAGCAGAGTTGGCATGAAATGACCCTCAGCACCCATTTTTAACCAGAGTTGTTAGGAATTTATTCCTCCCAAGAGCCTGTTCTCAGTGGTACCACATGGCTGTGCTGAGAGCAGGGAAGCTGAGGGATGCCAGGGCTGAAATTCCATCCTGAAGTACTCCAGCACTTGCTGTTAGCAGTGTTTGTTCCTGCTCTCACCCACAGACACTTAATGCCTGAAAATAATCAGATTTATCCCCTCAGCTGAGACGAAATCCAGTGCTGTATGTGTTGGGTTTGATTGCTTTCCCATCTGTCACCACATTTCCTTGTCCTCCAAGGAGACTCTGGGTGTTTTCGTCACTCTGTTTGTTTTCCTGCTCTCTCAGAGGCAGGCAGGGAAGAGTTGGTGCCTGTAAACCTGTCTGGACTTTGAGGATGATCCTCCTAAGCCTCATGTTTCACTCCAATGGCCTGGATGTGTGTGTTTTCCTCCCCTGCCTTTAATCCGAGGATGATCTGGCCAGAGGAGTGGGAAAGGATGTAGGAGCAGCTTCTGTTTGAGCTTGTTGGGGATGAAATATGGCAGCTGCTGCCAGGCTGGATCCACAGGCTGGCATCTCACACCCCTCAGATGTGGGATGTGGTGAAAATGTCATGTTTTTAGAGACTGATCTGTCCCAGACCCTGAATCCATGCCCTTTCAGCTGTGGATGCTGCTGCTTAAGCTCCATCTCGGGTCTGCACCTCCCTCTCTCTCTTCATTCTGGGGGAAGAAAGGAAAGCTGAGTATTTCCCCTTAACCTGAGCCCTCCTTTGCCCTGCAGGTGGGAGATGTCACAAACAAGAAGCCTCAGCGCCTGGTGACCCAGTTCCACTTCACCAGCTGGCCTGACTTTGGGGTGCCCTTCACCCCCATTGGGATGCTGAAATTCCTGAAGAAGGTGAAGACCTGCAATCCCCAGTATGCAGGAGCCATAGTGGTGCACTGCAGGTGAGTCCTGGAAAGCATCTCCTATTTAAAAGGAATTTTTTTTTTCAGTCAGGACTTTTCCATTATCTTTATTTAATTTTCCTATGTTAAACTGGGATGTTCCTCATGGGGACATGCAAAAAAAACCGCATGAATTGAAGGAAGTTCTTGGAATCAGTGATTTTAGGGTGTTACAACTCATCTGGAGGGGTCATTTGGGTTGGCTGGATGCTGAGTGAGCCAAGGAGAGCACTGGTGGCATCTCCCTTGGCATGAGAAGATGACATCCATCCCTCTCTGGGAGAAGGCATTACTGACCTGACACATAGCCTGCAGCAATGGACTCACCTGGAATGGTTTCAGGCACAGCAGCAACCCTGGGGGAGCCACAGCGGTTTCCACATTGCAATAAGGAGAAACCCCATGGTTAAAGGCACAGATGGTCACATTTGCACCATCCCAAGTTAATTTTTTTTTTTCTTCTTGGGAAGCAAGAAGAAAGGACACAGATGGGCAACCAGCCCTGTATGATCCTCTCTGCTGGTTTCTGCTCTGCCTCAAGGGGAAGGGAGTCCCAGGGCTGAGCAGGTCCTTTCCCTGGACAGCTCAGCATCCCCTTCCTCTGCCCCAAACCAGGGCATGGCAGGGGGTGGAGTGTGCACTGTGGGGTGCACTGTGCTCCCCTTCCATTATCTCTGTCTCCCACTTGGGGCTTGGTGACTCCCCAGCTGATTCCAAGAGCTTTGTCTTCATTTCATGTCTGCTGGTCTCACTGAAGACAATCCAGTGCCACCCCCACCATGGGCTCCCACTGTCCCAGGCTGCTCCAAGTCCATCCAGCCTGGCCTTGGGCACTTTCAGGGATCCAGGGGCAGCCACAGCTTCTCTGGGCACCCTGTGCCAGGGCTCCTCACCCTCACAGGGAACAATTCCTTCCCAGTATCCCACCTAACCCTGCCCAGTGAAGGAATTGGGGTAATAGTGAGAAAAGTCATGGCTTGAGACCACAGGATCGTGGAATGGTTTGGGAAAGGACCTTAAATCCCATCCAGTGCCACCCCCACCATGGCCAGGGACACCTTCCACTGTCTCAAAGTGCTCCCAGCCCTGTCCAGCCTGGCCTGGGACACTGCCAGGGATCCAGGGGCAGCCACAGCTTTTCTGGGCACCCTGTGCCAGGGCTCCTCACCCTGCCAGGGAAGAACTCCTTGCCAATGTCCCCACCCTTGTCGTGCAGTGCCGGGGTGGGCCGCACGGGCACGTTCATCGTCATCGACGCCATGCTGGACATGATGCACACGGAGAGGAAGGTCGATGTCTACGGCTTCGTCAGCCGCATCCGCGCCCAGCGCTGCCAGATGGTACAGACAGATGTGAGTGTGCTGCTCCTGCCCTGCCCTCTGGGCTGGCATTGCCTTCATTTCCTTCACCCACTCAAAGCCTGTGTGAGGGTTGTGCCATCCCTCATTTTGGGTGATTGTTTCGGTTTGGAAAGCCAGGTGTGTGCTAAGGAAGGCAGGAGCCTCCCCTGGAATGGAGAAAATGAACCCCTCCTCTCGCTGAATTGGTATAAATTTTAAATTAAGGGCTCTCAGGCAACAAAAATTATGGGAGTAGGAAATAACAGTTCTTTAATAGGGAAGAAAATAAAAGGATAAAATAAACAATGCAGTAAATCAAAACAACACTGAGAGAGTCAGAACCCAACGTGACACCCTGTGGGTCAGGGTGTTGGTGGCAGTGCCATTGGAATTGTGGCTGCAGCCCTCCTGCAGTGTCAGGGGTGGTTATCTTGGAGCAGGGATCCTGGAGAAAGGGTGTAGTCTTCTTCTGAAGATCCAGTGGAAGAAGAGGCAGCTGCTGCTCCTCTGGGGAATCCAGAGGAGAAGCCCTGCTGGTGTTCCAGAATCTCCAGATTAAATCCAGATAGGAATGCTTGGCTCCTCCCTCTGGGCTCACATCTCCCAATGGGATGCTGCAGTTCTTATCAGTCATGCAGTGACATTCAGTGGCTGTTATCAGCAGGTGACCCCTCCTGAGGGAGGAGTGGTTGTGGAAGAGATAAGGCAAACTGCCCACTTGACAAAAGACAACTGCCACACAGATGGTGTAGAATACATCTTGCCTTGCAATCTGGAGCACCTGCCCTCTGGGCAGGCATTTTCTTCACCCACTCAAAGATTGTGTGAGAGTTGTGCCATCCCTCCTTTGGGGTGATGCTTCATCATGTGGGCTCTACATGAGGTCCTTCTTTTCTTAATCCCCTTTGTAGAATCATTAAATCATTTAGGTTGGGAAAGATCCTTAAGATAGAGTCCAACTATTCCCTTAACACTGCCAAGGTCACCACTGATCCGTGTCCCCAAGTGCCACATCCACATGGCTTTCACAGTGGTGGTGCCAGACTTTCCATGGGAGAGAGGGAGAAGTTGGAATTCAAAGCCAGGTGATCTCCAAGCCCATCATTGGCTTGTCCTCAGTGCCCTGTCCTGCCTCTGGGACAGTGTAGTTCCCAGAGTGTTAATCATCATAGGATCACTGGTTTTTGGGGATTGGAAAAGTCCTTTACGATCATCCAATCCAGCAGCACTGCCAAGGCCACCACTGACCATGTCCCCAAGTGCCACCTCCACATGGCTTGTGTATCCCTCAAGGGATGGGGACTCCACCACTGCCCTGGGCAGCTGTGCCAGGGCTGGACAACCCTTTCCATGAAGAAATTTATCCAATATCCCACCTGACCCTCCCCTGGCACAGCTTGAGGCCATTCCCTCTCACCCTATCCCTTGTTTCCCCCTGGCCATCCCCTCCTGTCAGGGAATCTTGTGGAGCCACAAGGTCCCCCCTGAGCCTCCTTTTCTCCAGGCTTGGAGAACACTTTGTCTCACATCTGCCTTGCTTGGTGTGATAAATAAAGAAACAGTCCCCATTTGCTGGCAGGAAGGTTGTCACTCAGTTTTTTAGAATCTCAGAGGGTGGCCAGGGCTTGGTGGGTTTGCATCCATCATGCCCTCACTGGGCATGGAATGTGGCAGGGGAAAAAAAGCTAAGTAACTTGTATGGCTAGAGGGGGAGGTGCAGTTATGAGCAGGGAGAACAATTTTAAAAAGAAAGATTTCACAGAGACTCAGACTTGCTTTTACTCCTTCCTTGTCCCTGCCCCCGTGCAGATGCAGTATGTGTTCATATACCAAGCACTTCTGGAGCACTATCTGTACGGTGACACTGAGCTGGAGGTGACCTCCTTAGAGATCCACCTCCAGAAGATCTACAACAAAGTGCCAGGGACCAGCAGCAACGGGCTGGAGGAGGAGTTCAAGGTGAGTGAGGCTGTTGTCCTGTCCTGCTGGATCTGCTGGGATGGGGCAGGGATCACCTGGCACTGAACATCCCCTCTGCTCTGCTCCTTGTCCTGCAGAAGCTCACTTCAATCAAAATCCAGAATGACAAGATGAGAACGGGCAACTTGCCAGCCAACATGAAGAAGAACAGGGTGCTTCAGATAATTCCATGTAAGGCTTGTTTGGCTGAGGGTCTGGTGGGTGTGGGGACAGGAATTGGGTGGAGAAATGGGGTAAACAGGGACATTGTGATGTTCAAGGGAAAGGGCAAAGTGCTGCCCCTGGACTGGGGTCACCCAGCTGGGTGGAAAAGCGGCTTGGAGGAAAGGACCTGGGGGTCCTGACAGACTGCAGCCTGAACCTGAGCCAGCAAAGTGCCCTTGTGACAAAGGGACAGTGGTGGCCTGGGCTGGGTGAGACAAAACTCTTCCAGCAGGCCCAGGGAGGGGATCCTGCCCCTCTGCTCAGCACTGGGGAGGCCACACCTGCAGC